TGTATATTGCACATAAGCAATCGGACGGCATTTATGTGGAATTACTCGTCGATGGAGAACATAATAAAAATAAAGACTTTAGTAGTGAATACATTACATTTTCACTTACTATCATTTTACTTTATCGTTCCACGTGTCTGTGAGCAAGACGTAAGAGTGAAAGATTACAAACATCAATTAAGCCGTTACGCGTCGCGTCGTCATCACACCAGTGTCATAATATAAACACTCCTATAAGATGACATATCTATATTATCAAGATATTATGACACTCCCAATCACATCACAGTCGCTGGGGACGCGCACGCAGCTGATTTTTAATGGACCGTTCGCCTAAAAATCACATGTGTAACATTGTCTACATTGTACAACATTGTGTATGCTATCATTGTTGTTTGTATTACATTGTCTATCGTATGTATTTATATTGTCAACGAACTCAACCAACAGAGGGAGCCACAAGGTTATTTCAAATTGATCGTGTCGTACACGCCAAGGTACACGCGACTCTTATGATGAACAGAGTGGCTATATGCCCGGCAGCCGGCATATATCTGACGGCTGCCGGGCACGGTCTTCGATTTCCTAAATGCCCAGCAGTTTTTTATTTTCAGCATTATCTCAAGTAAACAAGGGTTAGGGTTAGGGTTAGGGTTAGGAACTGCCGGGCATTTAGGAAATCGAAGACCGTGCCCGGCTGCCGGGTATATAGCCACAGCGTATAATGAGTATATAATGAACGCATTATTATGTACGCATAATAATCTCCTTAAATATTCAAGTCAAAGGTCCAACAGACACGTATATATCGAAGACGGGAAGAGACAAAGTTGATCAAATAGACAAAGTACGATTTAATGCATTTTGTTTATAGTTATATCGATTATAATTATTGATTAATTTATGCGCTACTGGAACACTGCGGCACAGTATTTTATATAGGCAGAAAACGATACGACTTCCTTGATAGCTGCGCGGCTGCCAGTTTAAACGTGTGTTCAACGTTATTTGTAGATAACTGCAAAATGCAGCGTACCTGTAACGTAGTGTGATCCGACATTATTTGCACGTTTTCGCTACAATTAACCCAAACATTTAATATTACATTTCATGACATGCAAATGTAAATACGGTGCACACATGTTTCGATTAACAACAAGGCCAATAGAAAGTGTGCAGAATTAAAAAAAAAGGGAAAAGTTTGAACTCGTTTATTTTATTTGCACCTATCGCAGCAGCGTGAAAAACATACGTATGTACCCAACCCACGTTCCAGGCTACAATGTATGCATTCCGAGTACGTGCTCGGGGAGCTAAAAGCGATCGTGAACACAACACACAAACAAGTGTAATTTTTCAATTTGAGTTTTTTTTTCGATTAGAGCAAATTTTAAGACATGAATGTAAAGATATATGAGTTATTACCATAGTAAAACGAATACATCAAATTAATCAAAATAGATAAGCGATGATTCTACTAATGATTCTAAATTGAAGACTTTTGAAAATCACAAACTACGAACTATTATGATATTATCAGATAATATGCATGATTATGATAACATTGCAGTCAAAAATTTAAAACTATAAACAACCGATGGGGCTTTTTGTACATGCGCAATACACATACAAATTTGCATTTTTACATATGAAAAGGCATTTTGTCAAGATAAATATGTCACTTAAATTTTCATTCCGACGTTACTAATTCACCAATCCTACACACTATGATTAATATTACAAATATATAAAACTTATTATATACGCTCCGCTACATTAACATGACAGGAAAGCATTCTCAAACTAAACTTCCTGTGAAGGTTAACGCTCTAAACGGTGTAAATACTCTATGTACTTCTAATCTAACTAATAAAGGGGCAGGGAACGAGAAGCCCCACATTCAGAGCTGATGAACACTGACAAGCCTTTCTAGTGTATACATGTTATGTCACAAACATTCCTAGTTAAATGTATCACCAAGCTTCCAACCACACTGCAATCACCTATATCAGTAAATGTAGCCAGGGTGGCAAGGGTCTGCATTCTTTCCGTTTCAATCTTTACATATAGAAAATATCATTAGAGACAAATTGAAAGAATAAAGTTCAAAGCACAGTATTTAATTATGCGTTGAAGCTTTTTAAAATGTGAGGCACAAAATGGCTCTACTTGCCTCGTACATGTAAAGCGAGAGCAAATGCTAATAAAAACTCAGCAATAAAAATAGATGTGACTGGCGAAAGAATCTTATAATATCCTTATTCGTTTTTTAACAGACTGCTAATGATTTTGTTTACTATATTAAACCGCTACAAACGAACTTTTGACTTTTAATCATTGATATTCTTTCAGGAAACAGGTCTGTGTTCCTAGCTGTGGTTTCCTCTACCTCTTAGTTCTATTAACTAATTAGTATAGATCACGACAATTACCGTCAACAACATACAGTGCATTGTGTCACCGTAATGATATAGATGTACATATCACGCAGCTGATAAGAAAAAATGCACTGGATGGAAAATTCATTTGTGGTGACATCATAATTATTGTTCACGATGGGGCAGGCGCAAGTGGAGCCGATTTTTTCCACAGATTTTTTTATGTCTGGCTTCCCATAACACAGTAGGACAGAATATTTACAATAAAACTGGCTTTCTGCCAGCCTCACGTCCAACAGTCTTACAATAAAGTATTGTATATCCCCTTAGCGTTCACAGTTCAACATCTATAAAAATAGAATCTGCACTGCAAAAATTACTGTGGTTATAATAGCACATTACTTCATTTCATGACACACTTAAATAATTTCTTGCTTGATGTAACCTGTTACAACAGTACTGTAGGTTGGGGGGGGGGTAGTATGTGCACAAAAGCACACGTTTATTTTTGCTGCAATACCATTTAAATGCATGCAATTACACAGTGGGAAATTCAGTAGGGCACAATTTTCAAGGATTGGCTATACTTCATATCAAACAACAAATCATTAAGGTCTGACCTGATCCTAACCTTACTTTATATGTGGCAATAAATGATATGTCGAAATATCAACAAGGTTAGTTTATTCAAGTGCAACGGTGTCTTTTTATCACCCTTGCTGCGACGTAGATTTGCACATTACGCAGAGCCACTTTGTGTATAAGCACCACATTAGTAACTGCTTGGCACAGAATTAGCAGTTGAAGCGGTTGCATTTGGCACGCTAGGTCCATCTGCCAGTTTTCTCCAAACAACCTGAATAAATAAATGTGATTTAAGTACTTTATTCATAATCATAGGCCATCAAAATAATTATCTATATTTATTATTAATAATGATCATCAAGAGATATGGCAAAGTGCCTTGACTAATGCATCCTGGCAGAAATATTCATATAATAACTTTGTATAACTTACTGTCACAATGATTGATAATAATTATAATAATTAAAATGATAATTAATTAGTGCTACAGTTGGTGAATGAAAAAGTAGTGAATTTGGTGTTTATACATACATTACACATCTCTCTGACAATTGCTTTCTCTTTATCATTCAAGTCTTCTGATGCATATTCATTGGTCTGTCGATCCAACTGCTCATGTACTTCAAGAACCTAGTGTATGAAAAGAATAAAAAAATGATTGCAGTGAAATTCAATACTAAAGAAAACAATCAAATTTAAATTATTATTTTATAAACATTAAATTTTCATTAAATTTCTATACTACCAACTGAACTGAATTATCTAGCAACTTTCCTAAAAAATACTTCTTTGAATCAAACAAGTATTTGTGATTCATTACAAAAACTGGTATATATATTGACGTGCATGGTGACACTGTCATACCTTCATGGCATGAACAATTGCTTCTGGTTTGCTAGACACGTCCCGGCCATCCGTCGGTGTCAAGGTGGCCTGCAAATAACAAACATAATTATGAGCACTGAACAGCCATGTGATTTTCTCACCAGCTGGCAATTATGCATGTGAAACTCTAGCAAATATACATTTGTGATAGTGATACATAAAATGAATATCGTTATTTCCTAGGGTTTTGTCAATTATTGTATAGTCAATTAACGTGAGATGTACCAGCAATGAGAATGCGACAATTGTTATAAAGTTAAACGATACAGGAAGAATTTGCACACCGGTATAATTACAGCATCACCTAAGGCTAAACGTGAGTGTATACAACATGTATACATACGTTTGCGTGCATGCGTGTGTGCGTGCATGCATGAGTGCGTGCAAGCGTGCGTGTGTGCATACATAATATAACTCGATAATATAATAACGATATTATATCATATACTGTATTTTATAATCCCTCTATCATATAGGTATCTGTGGGTCCAACTGCATTGCACAACTTGCACAACAATTGCAAAGTTGCTATTTGTGGTGACATCTGTGTTACTGATGAGGAAGGTGGTGATCAGGCTTATGACTTTGTGAATAATCAGATAACCAGGCTCCACACAAAGTACTCGTGCCAACAATCGAACAAAAGTGAAGCCGCTGTGCCACCTCTACGCAATCTGGCCAAGGTCTGACTCTGCCGACATTTTAACTTGAAAAACAACTTTCTTCAATGTTTTCAATAGAATGTTTAAGCCGGCGAGACAAAGGAAGCGACTAGATTGTGTTTGGTTTGGCTAATCTCTGGAAAGCTACCTAAACATGGATTTCGACTGACTAACAGAGTCGGCATGCATATGAAAGAAAATATCAGTTTCAGCTCAAAGACAAACAGGAGCCGCACGTTAAGCAGCTGCTGTTGTACTTGTCGGGATAACAAGCGATACATAGTCGTTCGCAATGTCCTTTGTCTTGTATTTCCCATAACAAGATGGGTTCAGGGTGGCGCTACCATACGACCTCCCTTTCACACTCTGTTTTTGATATAAAGTACGTAGTTACAGATCTCGCCTCTCCTACTCAACTCATTTCTTGCCTTTGGAACTCCATGTCTCCCCAAGTAATTATACCTATATGTTATGTTTAGGCTTTTAATTAAAACTCGATTTACATGGTTGTACACATTTGATAGTACTATATATGAATCGATTTTCAGTAGAACATCAAGTGTTTCTAAAGCTCACAACAAAATTAAAACGTTAAATTAAAATATAAATTTACTTGCATATGGCATGGCATAATAATTTAGGGAATGGTATTGTTAAATTTATTCATATTGTTACAGCCTCAAACATGACCTCGCAAACGTATGAAACTGTCAAACACAATTTTACTACAATGCTGTGGAATTATATAGTCAGTACTACCAAAATGATGTGATGTATAATGTCTGAGAGAAACAAGTTGCATTTGCTAGGTACTTGTCAGTAATTTTGATACTTGCACATGTCATTTGCATGCACCTACTGCTCGTTTTCCTTTACCTAGCCTCTACACGTGATTTTCTCCTAATTCACCTTATACTAGTGTATATTATTTATGCCTCTACTAAACTATCTCTCTCATTAAGCCTGGTAAACAACCTTCCCAGCCCTTTGACTCCATACATACCTCTCTACTGTGTGTAGGCATGCCATTACTGATGGGTTGGCTCTTGTAAGGCAGGTAAGACTGGTGCACTCCTACCGGCATGTCTGCTTTCTGGGCCATCTCTCGACCAGCCGTCGGCCGTGCCTGTGTAAAACGCAGCATACAATAAGCTCCAATTACCAATGAATAATCGGTACATGTTAACTTACAGTTGTAACTTTAATTACTTTAATCAACCTCCACTTATCGATAGGTACGTGAGGCATATAAACTCTGTAGGTTATAAAGCAATGATTTCAATATGCCTCATATATCTCGTACAAGCAGCAAATTCCCTTGCTTTGCAGATAAGATGTGTGATGAAATGTGCTCAATTCCAATGACTTTATAGGACCAAAAACTAAAATGGAGTTTTTATATGACTTTCCTAGACTACAACCTATTTTCCACATTCCTCTGAGAAAATATTTCTAAGAACTTTGAAAGTCTAGGACTTTCTGGGTTTGCAAGGACGGGCACAGCCTATTGTGTATACCTCCATCGGCTGCAGATTGTCAATGACAGTGTCATCCTCAAGTTGATGGATTTTCTCTTCCAAACGTCTGATGTACTGTACAGTTTGCTCTGCAACAAAGGAAATAATCATTCTCTGAAATACTACCAATATGTAAACCCAGTGAGGCAGTGACAGCACCTCTCACACGCGTGTGCGTGTGCGCGTGCGTATATATATATATATATATGGAGTGAATAATCTTAAATGTGCGCGCGTGTGCGTGCGTGCGTACGTGCGTGCGTGCGTGCTTCCAACTCGCGAAAACCTCCAATCGTACATATGCTGCACTCCCACCCTCTATAGCTAATACAGGTAGATATGACTTCGAGGCTGTCGAGCAACCGTCGGCACGGTTGCTGCACCGCACTCGGGCAGTCAACCCACCACCTGCGAGCAGCAGCAAAATGTGGGCGTACCACACGCAGGGTGCTTCTATGCCCCGCGGCAGTGGCACACTGCACTCGTGCAGGTGCGACCAAGACGAAAGAGAGCCATTGGAAATGAAGGCCAATCCGCTAACGCTCGCGGAGATTTCTTCACACGCACATCCTTGCTTTACGTCGTATTTGCACTGATGTCGTTGAAAGCAGACGCCACAAAGATTACACATTTACCAATTCTCTCTTTCAAGGTTCTGTTTCGGTAAAGGTGATTGATATTGAGTAAATCAGTGTAGCACCCACACATAACGATCAGAGATTCTCTGATGCATTTAGCTAAACTGGTTTAATTCATTGCCATGGTTCCTTAACTAGCATCCTCACGATCCTCTGAAAGACAGGTAAAATGCTTCATTTGCATATTTTTGAATTTAACCATATCAAGGAGAGCAATGTACCCAAAACGCAATAAATACTGTAGCGCATTGCATGGCATAACAGATTACATCAGATCTAAAGATCTCCTAGTATAATAAACGTAGTACTAGCCGCGTTCACACGTAGCAAGAAATCCGGTATTTAGCGTTCACATGAGGCAAAATGCGCGGTCCAAGAAATACGGTATCTAAACAGATCCGGTATTTGATGTAAATACGCGGCTTTCCAGACCCCGAATAATTTGCCGTGCTTGAGAAATACCGGATCTCTTGGACCGCGCATTTCCTCGTGTGAACGCTAAATACCGTATTTCTGAAGCCGCGTATTTTATAGATAGACTGGTCCGCGCTCGACAGTTCCAGTGTAATGCGAGTGGAACTGTCGAGCGCAGACCAGTCTACGTATTTTATCACTTGATTGTTTAAAGCAGCTCGTAGCTCGCAAATACCGTATTTCTGGAGCCGCGAATCAGCGTGTGAACGCTCGGCCGCGTATTTGTCTCAGATTCGGTATTTCGCAAATACCGTATTTCTGGAGCCACAAATCAGCGTGTGAACGCTCGGCCGCGTATTTGTCTCAGATTCGGTATTTCGCAAATACCGTATTTCATAAATACGAGGTCTCGTGTGAACGAGGCTACTTAGTATAGCACAGGACACCTGGTGGACACAATAATCTGTTCGAGGAGAAAGAGTTAATAGCAATATTTGGATTAGGTGAATGCAGCGTAAGTGAATGAGTTCTTGCATTATAATAACCTTTATAGTAAATTGTAAGAAAACAGACTGTTTCTAATGGAATGCTTTAAATTAATTACCTGCAAACTCTACAAATATATTATTTGAATACAATTTTCATGGTTACATTTCATATATACCTACAAATACTATAATTATTGTAGATGCTATACATCAATCAATCTTAAAAGTTTATCTGACAAATAATATAGGTTATGGGCTTTAAAACTAAATTAGAAATATAACAAAAACACAATTTCTGTGCTCCCTGAAGGCATATATGTCAACCCATGAGGGTTATAGCAGGCATTTAACACCTTCACAGCCGTTCGAGAAATTCCTACACGGACGAAACACACATCACATGTACGCCTCACCTGTTGCCAGGACAAAAAGGCAAACGACTCGAGTTAGAATATTATTAACCATCTAAAATCGTGAATAGATTCCTGGAATATAAGTTGTATTAAAAGAAAGCACGTACCTATTTTTTATGCAAAATTGACATGCTTTTGCTTAAAATTGTGTACTGTTAGCTCGAATACGACCTTGTCATTTTAAAAGTACTCTTATGTGTGAAAACACACGTGAATGCACTCGGAAACAATATCGATTATTGTCAATAAACCGCTGACAACTTGACCAACTGACAACAAAATTGATCACTGATTTCTGTTAGCCTGAGTGCTCCCGCCACTCCCTCATGTCCGTCCTGCATACACGACGAATTACTGTAGTCGAGGCCATAATAAAAATATTGTTTGTTTGCCCTCACCTGACCGACCCGCCAAAAAGAGGCCGACTCAAAAAAATTTATTGATCTTTCCCATTCTTTTTTTTTCAAATTGTATCACAGTACATTATATAAATCTGTAGGCAATATATGTATCAAGCAAAACAAACATTCAACATAAAAGGTATCTCCACACAAGCACACCGGAGCATGTAGACACTGGTCATGCTGAATTTGTAAGACCCTCCTAAAAAATGAGCCTACCTACCTACCGAAACTTTTCAGCCTGGGTAGGGTCAGGGCAAACAAAGATTTTTTTTAATTGTGGCCCAAACCACATCGAGGGTCATGCACGCGGCCGCGTTATTTGTGTTACAACTAACGATACAGTGAGCCGGCAGTGCTGATTTATATATTATCAGGAGTGTATCAATAGGAGTGAGACAGACTAAAGCCGGCAAAATTCAACATTTAGTAGCCTTAGTCTACCTATGATTTATTGTGTTTACCTCGATAAACTTGAGCTCAAGTGTTGCCTTAATCATTAAACTTTATCCGTGTCTAATCGTTGGTCTCATAAAAATGACAAAACCGGAGATATCGGTTCAAACGTACAATGTGGTTTTATCAATTTATACCGCATTGTTAAGAACTGTGAACCGAAACAAAGGGCTATGTTTTCCCTAAGCCCTCTATCGCAGCGCATGCAAACAACTGATAAATATTGATAAACTCCTGATATTATATATACGAATCACCCGCCATGACATTGGCTTATCTGATCGGGAACGTTATTATATCCCTCGCACCTCCGACAGAAGCCAGCCACAGCCGTGAAACTGAAAGCGACCAGTATCATTATTAGTAGTACTAGTAAATGCGTCTCTCAGTCTGATCGAGCCTAGCACGGACTATACATCTGAACGGACAAGAACCCCAATCTAGCCACATTAGGCTACATTAGGCTACATAGGCTACTCCGTAGATCACACACAGCAATGAGAATGGCTAGCTAGCTAGCATTGCCATGCAGTGAGCAATCGTGAAGGCTTCATCACATAAAAGTTTATTTCTTTTAATTTGGTCACATAGTTTTGGGCTCGATGGCAACGCGATGATGTACACACGGTCTGGCACACGATTGTTTGTTCAGTTTCCAACTCCTCCGATTACTCTCCGTAGAATTTACGCGTGGACTGGGCCACGTCCGCATAGTCCACATTGTTTTCACCCGGGAAGGAACATCCTAGCAACACGGACAGACCTTCGTCCCCACTCCACAGGCTACACGACACCTCACGAACCTACATACGTAAAACCATAACCGTGCAACCAGCCATTAAAGAATCCGAAGAATTTACCATGCCACTTATGATACACCAAGTAACTGATTTTACGGACATGCATGGACATTGCTATTCGCGAGCAGACAACACGATCATTGTCATCGGCTGACAGTGGTTTCTCTCGCTATGAATGCGCGCCAAATTACTAAATTACTGTTCACGAGAAAACTGCCCAAAAACGCTTGACGTGTAGGAACGCCGTCAGCGATAGGCGTCTGAAAAAACCGAGATGACGCTCGCGCCCGCCCGCGAGAAGTCCGAGAGTGCGCAAAGCTGGGGTTTGCCTCGATCCGTCTCATTGTGGAATCAAGCTTTGGGTCATTCTTCCACCTAGCATTCACTACACATGTATCCCACCGTCCGCCACAGAAGCAACAAACAGCATGTACATGTCAGTAAGAATTAAATGAGAATTTTTACAACTTCTGATACATCTAATCGCCATCCTGCTCTTCAATGAACTCTACCTTACCTTTAAACTGACCGTGTAATGTATATATAGTATCAGGGGTT